TGAACTAATTACCGCCAAGGTCAAAGGTTGACACGGAGATTGATGTTTTTTTGCAAGGATATTCAAGGGAAATGATAAGAAAATGAATTCAGAGAATTTTATAGGACCAACTTTGAAAACTTGCACAGGGAAAAATTATGAAAATATAGATATTTTTGTGATATTATTTAATTAAAACTCTTATACAGTGTAATATTTAATATAAATAATAAATGATAGTTTGTCTTCTTGAAAATATGATTTAATTGAAATTTGATTATAAAAATACATTTGATTTTCATTTAAAATTATTCTAAACCATTTATTCTGCAATTTTAAATTAAACAAATTTAACAAAATGCCAGAATAATGATTCATAAATGTATATTTATTAAAGATAAGCAATTTAAATGTTTGCTAAAACATAATCACACCAAAACCACTGAAATGCAGTATAATCCCCATGCACGATGACACATTATTTTCCTGCAGTGTAATTGAGCATAATCAAATTTGCAGCAGACCCACGTATTAGTCAGCAATTTGCTTATATTCGCTGACTACGTCAGTGTCTTTTTTTTCACTGTCGCTCATTTCATTTGGATTCGTTTCAATTGACCCCCAGATGTGAACTCTGGGAACCCGGGAACTGGGGAACTTGGAGCTACGCGGTTCTGATAAGGCAACCGATCCCGAGTCCGATGTCGATGCCAATCCCCTGCCGTCAATTTAGACAATTCAATTCATTTCAAAATACACAAACAGAAAGGAAACTAGTTGAGATCAAGCTTAAATGTCAACCGTTTCATATGATTTTTAGCTTAAAGTTTGATAGTAAGTTACCTATCGAATTAAATTTAAATCAATATTTACCAATGTTTTTATATAGAAAATTTTCTATAAACTCAGCTAAAAAATCATTAATTTCAATTCGGAAACCATTCTTATGTTATTATTAGATTTATAAATCTGCGTACTCAATTTTAAATTTCAGTAGATTAATATTTTTGGCAATTTTTGACAATTTTAACGATGTAACCCCTTATAAAATTTTTGTCAAACATAGCTAGATTTATTCGGCTGTTAATACTGATCAAGAATGACTCCTTCACTGCGTTACAAGCTTTTGATTGAAATTAAAAGGGTATAAAAAGTCTGCTTGATTTTTAATAAATTATATAGGGGTTTCTTTATATTAATTTGGATAATTTTCCTTATTGCAGTTTATTTTTCCCTGTGATTAAACTAGTGCTTTTTATATTTATTTCAATATTTAAAAGATTCCCCTTTATTTTGCAATTTTACCCCATTTTTCCCATAGTGCATTTGTTCATGTTATTGTCACTTTATCATCACTTACTTTGCATACTATATACATTTATATACATACATGTTCTTCTCAATTGACTGATTCATCGGCTAAATGCGGTTCATGTGCGCGGGGAGCAAGTTCAAAAGGCAAACACGATGAAAGTGGGTTAAAACGAAAGTCAGACCCAGTTCCAGTCCCTTCAAGGTGCTCCAAGCACCAAAAAAAAAAAAAAAAAAAATCGCACCGCACAGCGGCTGACTTGAAAGTAAATTCCAAAAAAATAAATACATAAAGAGAGTTTACAAAGAATAAAATCGATTGTTTGCTGTCAATATGGGAATGGCCTTTGGAGATTGGGAAACAAGGCGCCGATAAGATTGTCAAATAAATAACAAAACAATAAAGTAACAGGATAAAGAACTTTACAAAAGTTGTATGCATTAAATATTTAATAATTGTAATTAATATGAAAATAAGTATAAGAAGTTATTGCAAGTAGGAAATGAGATTAAATCATGAATTATAGGATGGGTAATTCTGAGAACTTATAAGCCTGCGTTTTTGGTTTATAAAATGTTTACTTAGGATACAAAAAATCATAAAAAATTATTCTTAAAATCCTCAAATAAATCAATAACTTTTCCCCCTTTGCAGTTAACTGTTTTGTAATCTCTTGTAACCCACAACAAAGACTTGTAATTAGCGTATTGGCCAACTTTGCTGGCGACGGAAATAAACAAATAAATTCGCGTCGCGACAGGGGGTCTGTGAAAAAAGCTAGAGAAAAACCGAAAAGAAAAACAGAGGAAAAACTTAGTTAATGTCCCTCACGCACACACCTGTTCGTTGGACATCTGTCTGATTTGACACTTTTTTTGCGCTATAAATATAGGTATTTTTTCGCGAGCGTTTCTTAAATGCAAAATGATTCTGCCAAAAAGCAGAGACATTGAGTTGTTATAGCCGTTAATTTATGGCCAAATAAAAGCTTTTCAATGGAAAATGGCAATATCTGAGGCTGAGGCTGGGGTGGAAATAATCGGTAAATCGGAAATAATCTACAGCAGATGTGTGTGAGTGTGTGTCTATATAGTTATGGCTGCTGCGTTACGGAGCTTGGAGCGTGGGCTAGTTTAGTTTGGCCGTGTGGGCAGCGCTCAATTAAGAGCGGACCGCATTTTAAATAATTTGATTTTCCCAGTGGCTGTCTTCTAATTTGAGCAAACAACTCGCGCACGCCCAAAGACAGCTCCTCTCCTATTTAAGTTCTCACTCTCTTGGCAGATAAATAATGCGATACGATACACATACTATATCCCGGTGATCTCTCCGATCTCGAGATCGTTGCCAATTTCGCAGTGCCACAGCCTCAGTCGCAAACGAACAACGAACCATCGAAGTTTAGAAAATTTCTAACAATTAAATGCGATCGCGCGCGCGCATTTCCTTTTAAAAACGCGAATCGCAAATCGAAAACGAAAATAAATTTGGAAATTGCAATTGTCGTCTGGTTTTTAGAGCGCGCGTGTGCATTGCCAAAAACGAATTAAATATATATACATATCTGAAACGAGCAAGGAGAAGGAAAAATAAATACAATTCTCTTAAAAAAAACAACGACGCACATTTTATTTTCTTCAGTTCTCAGTTCAGTTGCATGCCGCAGCGGAATCAAAATATATATACTTAACCGCTTACATATATAATTATATATAGCTAAAGATATTTGGGCAAAAGCAAAAGAGCGCCAAGGGAGGAATAATACATCGAGAGGCGTTGCCCGAGGCCAAGGAAAAAAATCAAAAAATATATATAATATATATATAGAGTCCAAATAAGAGGGGAAACAAATGAATGCAGCTCGAGTTAAGTAGCCAAAAACTAGAGCAAGGCTCAAGCCCACTCACCGCCAAATCTCTGTAATTATATAATCTGATTTTTGGGAAAATAAAACCGAGAGAGAGAGCAGTGAACTGAACCGATCCGAACCAAACACGTGTCATTAGATTTTAAGCCCCACCGCCAAGCACACGATATATTTATTGCCTTGATTATGAGCGCTTTCGCCGAGCGGTATATACATTTCGATCCTTTGCGAAATCAGCGAACGCTTATCGTGAAGCGTCTGAGACCGCCGGAGAACAAAAGCTACAAAAACTTCAGCAACTAAGCAACTGAGCAAATGAACAACTGAGCAAATGAACAAATGAACAACTGAGAAACTGAACAACCGAACAACGAATATACATATCTACGTCACAAACAACGAACTCTGCTCGCAGCTACACCAATCGAACATTATTTATTATATTATAATAAAAGCCCTAGCAGAAAAATACGAACTTTAAGAAATATTTAATAAAAACACCAAATAAACGAACGAATTTTTCAACAACAACAACAAAAACTGCGACAACAACACCAACAAATACATCAACAACAAGCATAAAGACAAAAAAAGGATCATCAACATTTTGTTAGGGAATTTTTTCGAAACTCTTCTTTCGTTCCCAAAGAAATATTCTTTGTAAATACTCTTTACTAGACTCTAGATTTTTGTTGATATTGCTTAGCTCATATAGAACATATATATATTATTTATCATTGTTGTCCAATTTGTTGTGTTAATATATTTATATAACGAATACTAGTCAGACGCCCAACTGTGCGTATACGCAACGTCACTGCGTATACTTAATATTTAAGCGTAGGAAGAAGAGTAGGTTATTAGGCTAAGAAGATAGAGAGAAACCCAAATCGAACAAATGATGAAAAATCTCAATGGTAGAACGCATAATAATGCGGGCTACCATCCATATTACCATCAAGCATTGCACTTGGCCCAGCTGCAACATCAGCAGCAGCCGGAGCAGCAGCAATTGTTACGTCAGCAATGGGCACAGCCCACGCAGCAATATCTACTGCAGCAGCAGCAGCAACACCTACTGCAACAGCAGCAGCAACACCTACTGCAGCAACAGCAGCAGCAGCAACAGCAGCAGCAGCAGCAGCAACAGCAGCAGCAGCAAGAGCAGCAGCAACTTCTACAGCAGCAGCAGCAGCAGCAACACCTACAACAACAAAATAACGATAATTTTGCAATGGACGCAAGTGAAATTGCCAATTTTCTTGCCAGCGAGCTTTTCCCGCAGCAGGTATAAAATAATAACAAAACACAGACAGTAGGCAATATCCGATAATGAAATCGCTATTGAAATTCAAGAAAATTGGGCGCGAAAACAATTGGCAGAGCCGAATACTACAACTAATAATAAAAACGTGGTGTGTGCGTACTTATTCATCGATAAAAATAGCCCCCCCAAAAAAACAACAACAAAAGGGGGCAGGCGTAATATAAACAAAGTGATGGATTGGGTCCCCTCTGTTTCTTTGATTTGTTTTTGCCAAAAACCAAAAAGAAACACGCTCCCTAATTCTCAGAAATATGTATTTGAGGTCTTAAAAGGCTTAGCATTTGTTTTTTGGCTTTGAATTGTGAATTAAATTTAACTAATTGTGGTAAATGGTAAATGAGTACTGCTAGGGGTTTATATGTAATGGATTTTTATCTTGTGATAAAGTGATCAACAAACACTCTTTAAATTCTGAATTTTTCAATACACATTCTTTGTAATAAATATTGAAAACCTTCAATACAAAGTAAATAAGTGACATCTTTAACTAACCTTTTTTATATTTTTACTTGCAGCTCGGCACCTTTGATGGCATTCAGAGCGCTCCAACGCTGACAACGCCCACGTTGACGCCCACAACGATGCGCAGCATCGAGGAGAGCTTCTACGAGATGACCAATGATCCGGTGACCGCTCCCTATCAGGCTGGCTTCAAGCCACCGCCACTCGCTCCTCTGGTCAACAATGGAAGCGGAAATGGAAGCGGTAACGGAAGTGGAGTCACTGGAATTCCGACCACCACAGCCACGGCCACCGTGGTGGGCGTGGTTAATCCACTGACTAGCCAGCAGGTTTACGATGTGAGCAGTGTGGTGCAGGGAACCGATTCCGGGGACTCCAATAGCACTTGGGGCGAAGGGCAGAACAACGACGATCAGGACACAGACGAAACTTGTAAGTAATTTAAAAGTTATCTCCATTTTTGCGGCTTACTAACCAGAGCTGTATTATTCAAATTCCAGCAAGTGCCCACACGGACAGCACCTCGTACCAGAACGGACACATGCCGAGCGGCAGCGGTGCCAATGGTGGCGTCAACAACTTCAGCAATGTCCTGGCAGCTGTGAGCTCCGGTCGCGGATCCTCGGGCTCCAACACAAATACCTCGAACAGTGCCACGCCAGCGCGTCGTGGAGGCGGCCGGAGACCGAATAGATCCGCCAACATGACGCCGGAGGAGGAGGAGAAGCGCCGCATTCGCCGCGAGAGGAACAAGCAGGCGGCGGCACGTTGCCGCAAGAGGCGCGTCGATCAGACCAACGAGCTAACCGAGGAGGTGGAGCAACTGGAGAAGAAGGGCGATCAGCTGCGCAAGGAGATGGAATCGCTGACGGAGGTGAAGAAGCAACTGACCTACTTCCTACAGGCTCATCGTTCCACCTGCAGCAAGGTGCGAGCCGATCTGCTCAGCGTGAATACCTACAACGGGTTGATTGCCCCTGTGGGTCTTCTCAGTGCCGGCAGCTGTGGCAGCGGATCGAGCAGTCATCACAACAACAATAGCAACGATAGCAGCAATGGTACAATCACCGGCATGGACGCCACACTGAACTCCACCGGACGAAGCAACTCGCCGCTGGACCTCAAACCGGTGACCCTGCAAAACGACCTGCTGATGCAAATCAAGGACGAGCCTCTGGATGGCGGCCTGGACTCCAGCTCGAGTCTGGATCAGGACGGACCGCCGCCCAGCAAGCGATTGCCGCCCATGTCCACGCTGATGACGCCGACGGGTGCCTCCACGGGCTCCCTGCAAACGCCCATGTCGGGCACGGCGCCGAGCGGATTTGTTAGTGCCTTCCCAGTGGTCACCACCACCACCAGCAACGGCAGCATGAACAGTCCCACGCTGAATGCCCTCAACAAGGTGCCCAAGGAGCGGCCCAATACGCTGGCCGTGCAGCGACCCTTTGGCAACCACATGCACCTGACGATGGCCAACAACAAGCCCGGCGGTCGCACCGAGATCCAGGGCGTTCCCATTCAAACGCCCTCCACCGGTGTCTTCAACTTTGATTCACTGATGGACGGCGGCACCGGACTGACTCCCGTCTCGGGGCCGCTGGTGCCCAATAGCTCCTCGCAGAACAAGCATCCGCTGGAGCTGCCCACGCCCACCGCCGAGCCGTCAAAGCTGGTCAGCTTATAACCGGAGAGGTTACCAAGTCGAGTCAGGATTAAGTTAAGTTTTATATAACTTGTTGGGAGCCGGTTTCTCAATGTTCAGCTAAGCTCATGACACTCGACTTGACTGTCAGTTAACGTGATCGTTATTATTAACCACTCTTTTGTTAACTGTCAGTTAATCTGTTCGTAAAACTCTAACTGGACATTGGGAAACCGGATAGCCGTAACAATAACAAAAACCAACAAAACATTTTGCTAGTTGTAGGAGATGTTTTCATTTTTGTAATTCGTAATCTGTAATTTGTAATCGTAAAAGTTTTCGTTAACTTTAATGTTTTTTGTATTATTATCTTTATTATGGTTAATTTATGATTTTGCTATGTCTTTTTACATACGCCGAGCCGAGCTACATATGTTATGTACTTGTATTGTGTGCAATTTTCAAACCTTTTCATTAGCGTGTTATATATTTTTTCCAAAAGAATATAGAGATGCGGTTAGATCGTCGGACGATGCTTGATTAATGCCATCGGCATTAATCAGGGATTTGCGAATGATAAGGATTCTAGGGAGTGTAGATTTGGAAGGATGATGCGTTGTGATATTTATTATAAAACGAATACAAAAGATAACAGATAAACGAAAGTAGAAAAAGCTAAACGGGAGATGAGAGCGCAGAGGAGCGTAATGAAAGGAACTAAGCCGGTTTTAAAATTGTACATTTAAACAAATCGCGTTAATATATATATATATATATATATATATATATTCAAAATACAAACTAAATACAATGCCTTGAGAGAGAATTAAGAAATGCAAAACACTTTATATATATATAAATAAAAGTATATGTTTAAACCTAAACATTAATCGCGTTGAAGCAGAGTTTTATATTGAGCGAAAGCAAAAGCAAATGTGAAAATGAGATAAATATACTTATTGTACTCTGTAAGCTGCAGTAGAAAACCCAAATATATTTTTACTAAACGCAAAAATGCGCTATTTTCAAATACCATTTATAAGAAATGACAAAACGCAAAGCAATTATTTAATATGTAATTATGTATGTATGTATTGTGCAAAAAAAAAACAGTGAAAATCGATCTGAATAAGCAAAACTCTCGCCATTTTCCACAGTAAATTCTCAATAATTGTCAAAAATCGAAACCGACAGAAACTATATAAATGCACTTAAACGGGCAGAGAAAAAATCACCAAAATTGACATAAATGAAATCAAATCAAATAAAATAAAACGAATAAAAGTACCGAAAAACCTAAAGACAAAAAAAATTGTTTTATATTTGTACTGTTAACAAGGAAAAACACCAATTCGCATGACTTGCAAATGGTCTGGCTTATCGTCAGGTAAGCTGAGCAGGTAAATTAAGGTGGACCACTAAGGGATATCATTATAATGTAATCAATCAATGGGTGTTGTGATTGGTTTTGATCGGTTTAGAAATCAAAAGAATATTTTTATTTTGATCTTTTCTGCCATTTCTTTGGAGTTCTTAATATAAATAGATATCGTATATTTATTGCTTAGTTTATATCGAATTTGTTTTTGTTTTAGTTTTGTGTACAAATATAAAAACAACAAGGAAAAGGTGACTTTTTTGACCAGACATGGCTTAATCGATTCGTCTTTTTTTGCTGATCAAGAATATACATATATGATTTATGAGTCGGAAATGCCCTTTTCAGTGTGTTTCCAGCTTCTGACCAATATTATAACACCCTGCAAGGGTATAAGAAATCGGTGTTATTCTCTGGCATAATACTCGAGTCTCGATAAGAACAGTGGACTAAATTCCACTGTATACCATTTAAAAATAAATATTCTTTTAATCATTATTTTTTCTTTATCCTGATCTGATCTGATCTTATCGGCTCAAAAAACATACAATTTAAGGCTCTACAACATCAGGAATATCCATTCCCTTATCCAGTTGTTGAGGAACAGCCTAAAGAGCAGGTAAACAAGGCTAAATTCTTTCTTTCCGCTGCAGATAATGGTTACATACATATATGCATACTGGGAATACATATATTCATTTTCGGGTTTGCCTTATTTTGCATTATTTGAAATCTGGCCGGAGTTCGGCTCTTTGTTTCAGTTACTCGAGAACAGGCGATATGAGCGGCTGTCAGCTACTTCGTGCTCTGGGACGGAGCCTGGGATTGGGCCGGAGCCACCTGAAGGTCGATAGCCGGCACGTGGTGCTCATCACGGGCTGTGACTCGGGATTGGGGTAAGGTATCTGAACTGGAAAAGATTTACGAAGACTAACCGTTCGATCTCTGTATTGGGATAGCCACTCCCTGGCCGTATATTGCCACGATTCGCTTCAGATGACAGTGGTATCCTGTTGCCACAATTTGAAATCGGAAGGCGCCAAATTGCTGCAGGCTCTCAATCCCTCTCAGGATGGACGAAATAGAATGTACACGCTGGAATTGGATTTGCTTGAACCAGACTCCATTAGGCTGGTTCATGGGCAGCTCCGGGAGATACTCTCCCAGGATCCCAACTACCAATTGAATGCCTTGGTAAACAACGCCGGAGTGATGTGCTTCGGAGAGTTCGAGTGGCAGTTGCCAGAGCAGATCGAGACCCAGATCAATTGCAACCTGCTGGGCACCATGAGGTTAACCCGCGAGTTGCTACCACTGCTCCGCCAACAGCAGGGAAGGATCATCAATGTGACCAGCCACTGCGGCTTGCAAGCCCTGCCCGCTCTGGGACCCTATGCCGCCTCCAAGGCAGCCCTGCGCTTCTGGTCGGACTCACTGCGCGTGGAGCTGCAGCAGTACGACATGGAGGTGGTCAATTTTATACCAGGATCCTTTGTTATGGACAGCAACATAGCGGCAAGGCAGCAGCAGCATGCCCAGAAGATGTGGGAGGCCTTCAGTCAGGAGCAACACGCTCTCTACGACTCGTACTTCGAGGCCTTCAATACTTACCTCAAGGTTCTGACCGGCTTCAAACCCCCCAATCGGCTTAGGAACGAGTCACTGCTGGCCAAGTTTCGAGATGCTTTGACCAGCTCTCAACCCCTGGCACTATACATCGAGGAACCTTGGCGATATCGACTCTACCGCTGGCTCTTCGCCATCTGTCCCACGCCCCTGGTGGATTGGCTAACCCTGCGCTTCTGCGCCATGCCCACCTACGAGTCCACAAAACAGGCTACAGAGGATTTGGTTGATTCTTAGTTTTATAATTTAAACATTTACATTCACAATTACAATTAGAAATACAATTACATTTTTAGTTTATAATTGTAGCACAGGGAAATACTTGGCTAGGGCTGTGGCTGTGGCGAATATAACGAGCCGTGTCCGGGGAATGGAAAGCGGCCAAGACGATCACAGAACGCAACTGGGATGGTGGTGGCGTGGCTAGTAGCCGGTACTGCGGCAGCGCTCGAACACTGCATCATTGAGCAGCTGAAACCACTCGCTAGCGTAGGTTGAGTCCTCCGCCGCCCGGAACAGCTGCTTCTTCTCTGCAGCCGGCAGTGTGGAGCAGAGATAGTAGCTAATGGCCGTCTCCGTCAGCTCCGAGTGGTAGTTCTTCAGTGCCCACTCGAGCAAACGCAGGCAGTTGTGGGAATCCAGGAACTGGATAAGCCGTTGCTGCAGCACGGCTTCCATCTCGGGTATGATGTACACCCTAGACATCTCGTAGGCTTGCAACAGGGCGGGGTAGTTGGGCTCGCTCGGGTGCCGCTCATGGCAGCTGATTAAATGCAGAAAATACCGCAGGCCTTGGGCTGAGTAGTCCCGAAGCTGGATTTCGCCTTCGTGCCCTTCGCGGAAGCTGCTGTTAAGCATCTTGTTGAACACCTCGCTGGCGTCGCAGAGCAACTGCTTGTTAAAGCCAATGGTCAGCGTGGTGTCGCCCTCCCCATTCACCAGGAATCTCATATCGCAGTTGTCGTGCAGCTCCTTGGTTTCATTAAGCTGTTGGGTACAAATCTCAGCCGTGCTTTCGGCAGGCTCCGCTTCGGGCAAAACTATGCCCAGGGTGAAGCGCGCCATTGAAGTGACGGCATCTGATGCCTCATCTGCATACTGATCTTCGCTCTTTATGCGCAGCAGCAGATCGAAGAGCAGCGTAAGAGCATTTCCGTCGTACAGGAATTGGTAGAGCAGCCGATGGCTCCTGATGATGTAGGCCACCGAGATGGCGGCTCGCTGCTGGGCCTTTATATCATCGCAGCGGAGAAGTCGCACCAGCTCCTCCTTGCCATAGTTGGACTCGCCCACATTGGTGAGTGTCTCCAGAAAGGCAAAGCCATCCTTGCGCATCTAAAAAGGGATTAAAAGTTAAAATCATGGAATAGAAAGTGTTAAGGCAGACTTACCTCCTCCACCTTGGTTAGCTGATACAGCTGATGCACAACACCATGCTTAATGATTTGCGCAAAGAACTGGCTCTCCCTAGAATTATGAAAAGAATTAAAATCAACTGAAATCTTTAAATTAACACTTCAACTCACAGTAGTATGTTTGTCAGAGCATTGGCAAAGTTATTGTTGGCCCCAAACAAGTTGATGGCTCTTATAAGCGTATCCAGCGTCTCAGGCTTTCCCAGCTCCATCCGCTTGTTCACCATCAGCGTTATCCTATAAATCAGGTTCTCTATAATGTCAATTGTGTCGCCTGCCTGGTTCCGAAACTGGGCTAGCTTGGGCGGCACATCCATGCTGAGCTCCTCGAGATCTTCTTTGTCCGACAGTGTGTCATCGATGGATTCGCTGCCCTCATCAATTAGCTTTAATATATCTAAAACGTTTGAGGCCTGGGCTCTATTGTTGGCTATGCGTCTGTCTTTCGTGTCCCCATTATTCGCACTGTCGTCTTCATCGTCATCATCGTCACTACAAGCTGGTGAATAGTTGTCATCGTCGTCGTTGGTCAGCAGATCCTTGCAAATCGGCGACATGCTGCGCGAACTACAGGGACTGGTTGTGCGATAGGACCTGGGCGAACTGCTCGGAGAGTCAAAGTCCGAGTTGATGGTGTCGTGAGTCCTTGAGAACTATTGTGAGGGAAAGATTTCATATACGTTTGTTAATTGCTAATATATATAAGGGACTACCTACCTTCGTTAGCGTCTCTGGCGTTGTAGGATCTGTCAGCTTACGTTTCTTTCCACCCTGCAGTCGCTCTTCTCGGCGACGTTTGTGATGCTCGTCGTCGCTGGTCAGATAATCGTTCAGTTCCCTGACCAGCATGGGCACCAGGCCCTCACAGAGCAAGAGTTCCATGCTCAAATTGTCATATTGAAAGTTGTTGAGGATGTGGAAAAGCTGTTGTTGGTTTAAAGACGAATTATTATATGTAAAAAGAAAGTTAAGTAACATATTACCGATGAACGCTCGCTCTGAGAGTTCGAGTCCCGTATCATGGCCACCAGCTTGCGCAGAGCTCCGCATCGCCGGATCTTGGAGCGACTGCATGCATCCGTTGATAGCGTGGATATGATGTTGATGCAGTGCCTGCACTCGCTTTCATTCAACGGCTTCACCATATTGACTGCCATGAGCATCTCGCAGGCAGCCACAATGGCATCCGCTGTGCTTAGCATGTAGAAGGCGCACGGATCCTTGCAAAAGTTTGACAAGATCTTCAAGGCCGAGGCTCGCTGTTCGCCATCCTCCTTGACAAAGCATACAATCGAGGCCAGTGAGGTGTTCCTTGAAATGGACTAATAAAATAAGGATATTGAAAACTATTTGTGAAGATAAATAAAGTTAAGAACCTACCTCCCAGGCTTTCATTCCAATCTGCTGAGCTGAGATCAGGACGAGACACTTTAAAATCTCCAGAGCCAACTCCACGGCTTCATCATTCTGTTTGGGCAGCGCGTAGTCGCAGTTCCGCGTGAAGTTCTTCAGCATCTGGTAGTCGAAGATGTCGCTCCGCACTCCCTCCAGGTTGCGGGCCACCTCCTCGAAGTACTTTTCGCGGTGCTGGTTCCGCTTGAGGCCAATTAGCGTGGATACCTCTATGTCTGGAAGCGGTTCTTTGGGTGTCTCATTATTCTTCATTACGGCCACGAAGATCTTCATCAGCTGAAGGAAACCGTTGGACACGAGAAAGTGCTTGAGGAATTGGCTGCTAACTAGCAGGAAGCGACACACCCGAAAGGCCATGATGCGGGTCTGCACAGCACTGGTGGACTCGATAATGTGACAGATGGCTGGAGCAATAGCGGCATAATGAACATTCAAATATTGAGCTGCCTTTTTGCTCTTGGCCAGATTCCCGAGCATCCGGCAGGCGCGGCACTGAATCACTGGATTAGGTATGGTCTTTAGGATTGTTACTAGCGGGGAGATCACCTTGCATTCGACAGCCTATAGGTGGAATATAGTTTTAAGATGTGATAAATCTGTAATTAATACTCTTTACAAAGTAAAAGATTCACCTCAATGCAGGCCTGCTCGTCCGTACAGCAGTTTCCCAATATGCTCAGAACCACCTCCATTATCTTCTCGTTCTTGGTTATCAGGCGAACCTGGAAAAGACATTATTTTATCACAATTATCATACGATTTCAAACTCCAAAACATCGTCCATTTCTCCTACCATGATGGGAACGCCACCAGCAGTACGGAATAAAACGATGCCATTTTTGTCCTTCACCAGGTCCATGCGCAGCTTAACCAGGCATTTGTATATAACCGTTCGATCCGTGGAGGTCCTGAGGACTTCTAGCATGCCCCCAACTCGAACTTCGTCCATTTCTTTTTATAAAATTTTTGTTTTATTTAGAGGTGGATAACTTCTCCAAATTGGGGCTGTCCGAATTTTTAGCATTATAATAGGAAATGCCGGCGGTCACACTGATGTTTTCTGATTGGGGGAATATTTGAATTGGCGCGTCACGGTCACACTGGCCAAAAACAAAACACATTTTCTGCATATTACTGGGAATTAATTAGTAAACTGTACATTGCATAGTATATAATGAGTTTGGCCGCCATTAAAGAAAGAGAAGCCAAGGGCAAGAAGAAAGTGCTGCCGAAGTTGCGCACAGTCCTGGCCAATCCGTACAAGCAACACAGGTGAGGCAATCGAAAAAATAGAACTTGAATCAACAGGTAAAACAACAATGCATCCATTTACAGCCCGGTTTTGAAGGATGATGAAGTGCTGGAGTTCCGCAAGATATTAGGAAAGGCAAAGAAAAGAAGCGCGGACGCTGACAAATCCTTTGCCACTCGCCATGGGATACACCTTGGGCTGGAGAGCTCCCTGCGATCCGTCAACTCCCAACGCTTCTCCTGTTTGCTAATTTCCTTGAGTCTCCGCCCGGCGCATCTCATCCGCCTAATAGCCACCAGTGCATCCGTCAAGGTGCCCACGGCGCCCATATACGCCCAGCCCAAGTTGGAGGAGCTTACCCAAGAGATTTTTGGGGTAAGATCCCTATGCTTGGCTCTACCTCTAGACCTGAAAGGTATAAGCGAGGACTTGGAGCAGTGGGTTCTGGCCCGGAGGCGTTCGGTTCCGGCAAAAAGTATAACTTCCATTGCCCTCAAATCTCGACGGAAGCGCAGGGAGAAAGCGACAATTCTCCAACCATCTTCTGAGGAAAAAAAGCGTCCAAAATCATTTGCAATCCCAGCTGCACCGGAAAAGGATTGGGGCGGCGACTTTATTTCCTGCTCTTCTGATAAGGCGTCCATAAAACTGGACCAAGTGGATGTCCATGTGGAGACCCAACAACTGGGCGCCGCACTCAGCCATTTGGCCATGAAAGCCAAAAGTGAAATGGCCAAAGCTGAACAAAAACCTGAGAAAAGGGAGAAATTGCCGAGCGTAGAACCTATGGATGTGGAAACTGAAGTGGTCGTTGATGAGGATGACTTTTTGCCGAGTAACCTGCAAACCTATCGCCCCCTCACTGTCCACCAGATCAGTCCGAATCCCGACAAGAAACCTAAAAAGAAAAGAAACAAAAGCAGCCGCCAAACAAATCGTCGCAATAGTTGGCAACGCGGCCACTCATCAGCTGTAGATTGTAGGTTATGTTTCAAAAGTGTTATCGTAATTTTTAAGGTGCCCGCACAAAAAGAAATGCTCCGAAGTTTACGGCAAATATGCAGACTAGGAAGATGCTTGAAGACACCACTGCCGGCCAGCAGTCTGCTTAAACCATCCGCCGAATCCCCAGCTATCGTTGCCAGACTGAAAGCGCCGCTCCACACCAGCGGTCCGGCGTGGAAATATGACAAGAAATCTTCGAGAGCGGCGGATGATTTGGATAGCGACGATGAGGACGATGAGGATTTCAAGGATGAGCGGGATTCAAAGGTGGTCAAGACCAAGGTGAACTCGCTGCGAGCGGATCTCCTGCTGAAGGCTGGCCTCGGAATGGCCAGAAAGTAAGTACCTTCCGGAACACGAAGTAAATATATGTCCTAACTTTTTATAAATCCTTTTTCCAGCAAGGTCGAGCTGAATTTTTACGAGAGCAAGATCCGCGTCAACGGCAAAAAGCTGCAAAAAAAGAGTGCACAGGTAAGCAGTCCAGTTACCAGATGGGACGCTCGCTAACTGCTCATCCTCTCTTTCTCTCTAGCTTGAAATAGGTGATGAAATCGACGTGATAAGGGGCTTTAGTCAAGCGAATCCCTCTCACCTTGTGGTGGCCCGCGTCTCAATCCTTTCCGCCAGCGAACGCGAGGAGGGACTAAGCGTGCATTTGCGGCGCTACAAGTCATTGCTGGTCGAGAATTATCGCGGCGCAAACGCCTTTAAATCTTCGGAACATGTGGCTCACTAAGCCCGCTCTAGTACTGAACAGGTGCCCCATCTGATTAATTGTATAATTAGAAATATATTCAAATTGTTAATGATCATTTTATATTTCTTTATTAATTGTTTTCGATTATATTAGTAATGCTTAAGTTATAGATGTAACTGTCCACCACCAGATTTTTATCTATGAATCTATCCATCCAGAATTCGTTACCAAATGCGACAAGTGTCTGACTTTGGATGCATAGGACTTCCAAGAGGACAATTGTATACTTCGGCAAATGCCTCGATGTTTGACACGGCGCCCAAAACTCTGTATTTATCGATTGTGTGCTCATTCTTCAGTTCCTCCCAGTAATGCTCTACCTCGTATGCGGAACACCATAGCTGTGCGAATCCGAGGAAAAAGAGCTGTTCAGGAGAGAGATCCAGACCAGGCATCTGCTCACTGCGTGGCGCCAACGTCTCGTTATTCTCTCGATTCGTTAACTGAATCTGTTTCATGTGGCTCCGGTAGGCGGCTAGTGACTCCCGTAATCCGCCACTGTCCGCGATGTTTTCGTCCTGAGTTTCATTGCCGTCGACCGTGCGATTGATTTCTGGTATCAGATATTTGCTGAAGTGGTCTACATAGCACTTAGCCCGCTCCGCAAACACGGCCTCGGACTTCTTGGACCACCACTGTCGGTGCTCGCCATGACCGTCGTATGTGGATCCCAATGTATCGAAGCCATGAGTCAGCTCGTGACCCACCAGGTAACCCAAGGTACCAAACTTCAACGAATTCGGCCAGGATCGGTGAAAAGCGGGCGGATTCAGGATCCCGGCCATCACGTACATGGAGTTATCCAGATTGTAATAGAAGGCATTAACCTGCATCGCTAGCATCAGCTCAAGTGGCTTTGTGTCGTGAGGCATCTCCTCGGAATGCAGACCATTGTAGCGGCGCTGACGGGTGGCCATCTCTCGAATGTTGATCATGCTCTTGGCAAAGCTGCTCTCGCCTAACTCTAGACTGGCGATTTGTCGGATGAGGTTCTCGGTGACTTCCTGATTTTTAATCTCCCGATCACTGGCATCATAGTGGACTCCTTATCCAGCGCCGCCTGTCGCGTCTCCGAGTCCAGCCACTCGACATTCTCCAATGTTTGACGCAAGCTCTTCCGCAGCTCTTTTACCATGTTGGAAATCTCAAAAAGTGTGTCATCGCTGAAGTGCTCCTGTAAAGAGAAATAGGACTTTTAATATTTTCATACTATATTTTATTTTCTTGTAATATCTATATCTATATATTTTAATGAGAAGTTGAATTTGTTAGTTTGACTAGGCACCAATCCACTTCGAACACAGTCAGTGAATGGAAACTTTAGACGTGAGCTACAATAATGTGCTGCAAACTTGATATTTTAATATTTGTTTTTAAAGCATTTTAATTGCAAAAAAAGGCATTACGCAAGATACATAGGGAGTAGAGACTGTTTTCAAATTCCTCAAAAACCAATCTTTTTTTTTTTTTTTAAATTGTTAGTTTATCTGCTTGCTTTGTATAATTATACAAAGTTGAGCAATGCAAAAATTTAACAATTTTAACATAAATTTAAGAAAACAGATATGAATACTGTTTGTTAAATACAATTTAAGGTTTGAAGTTCAAACTTAGGTCTAATCTTAAGGGATTTTATTTTTTGAAAGAAGGTCCTCAACAATTTGACCTTATTTCCAAAAACAAATTAAATTTTTTATATTACGTATGCAGATTTATTAATCTAAGAAAAACTAGCATAAGAATGGTTTCCGAATTGAAATTAATAATTTTTTTGGCTTAGTTATGAGTTTTAAAACTTTGTTTTTCGGGAAAAAAAAGTTATATACAAATATCAATTCAGAGAATGCAAATATTTATTTCTAATTTCTAATTTGATTCCATAATTCGATAGCAAACTACAAGTTTATATTAACTTCGGCTTTCCAAAGTTAGATTCCTTTCTTGATCATGCTTTCCTTTCGACTCACCGCCATATACAGCTCGCTGAAGAGGTGACTCATTGAGAACTGGACTATTAGTAGACAGTAATCCTTCTGGTCCTTGGAGTCCTTAAGCTTGGCATCCATGCGATACAGGAGCTGCATGGCCAAATAGTTGGCCACCGCTTCCTGGTGCCTGGCACACACTTTGTCCAGCTCCACATAGTAGTAGTCACAAGACCCACTGTTGTAGGTTCCGTTACTAAAGTCCATCCCGTTCCAGGCGATCTCATAGAAGCTCTTCCAATGGGGATATGGAGGTATCTCATTATCGGCAGAAAACTGCTCACACTTTTCGGTATCACTATCAAATTTGTCCGCAATGATAAGTACCTCACGCCAAAAGTCAAACACGCCGGCGATGACGGAAGTGATATTGTCCTCCGGAAGCTTATAGGACTCGAGGTAACCGCGCATTCGCTGCTCATTCAGCACGTAGGCTCGGGATGTGACATTGGCAACGTTTTCCGTCTTGACAATGTGGTCAAAGCCCAGCTCCGGCACTTTGAAATACGGCTCAAAAGGGTATTGCGGTAGGATATGCTCGTCGATCAGGCCGTTAGCCCCGTAGTTGGTGAGCTGAGAGCTCATATTGAACCAGCTAAAGCTGGAGGCGTTCCACGCGTCGCCGTCGACGGCGGGAAAACCACCCAGCGACCTGATAAGCGATAGATAAGCGGGATCGGCAGCTGGCAGCGGATGGACCACTGCCGCGAGACAATCGTTATAGAATCGTTGTACAACTAGCAACTCGGCGGACACATTGAGCTTCTCCGCCAGCTCCGTCCTGGTGAGAAGCTCCTCTGTCGCATCATTAAGCGTGTAGACGATGTCCAGGAGGTTACTCCTTCTGTGGGGAGATTGGTGATCCGGACGCACGTTTTTCCAATTACCGCAGGCGTACTCATAGAAATCATCGCATGGGGACACGCTGACGTTCATGTAGGACTTCATTTTTTCCCCGTAGGATCGTAGATACGCTGCGGTGTCATCTGTAATCACATTCTCACTATCCGAACCATCCTGGGAGTTCGTCACGCTTCTCGCTTTGGACGTCAAAAAAAATACGCAGATCAGGACGTAAATAAGACGCCACGGATTCGAGATTAAAAACATATTGCCCCGATTCATAAACTAATCGGAACAGGCAAACAGTAAGTATATATATTAAAGTAGTAATCACTGATCGTCCCGGATTATTTGAATGAACATCCGCTAAACTAACAAGTCGACTGTTTTATTCAGGCCGCGATTGAGAACTGAGCTGTCTCCGGAGTCCGGAACGCAGTCTCTACGATCCGAGCTGACTGAGATTGCGGATTGGCGAATAATGGGCTCTGGCTCTCTTCTCTCCCAATACTTGACCTAAGCCACGCGCAGACGTTGATAAGGATTTGTAAGTTTTTTAACTAATACACATTCATTGATTACTGGACCATTCATTCAGGTTCTGACTGATTGCCTCAAATTCCCCAAATATATACGATTTTTCATATAAATTTAAATTAATGTTAAATCTTATAAAATGCAAAGTTTCTCCGTCGTAAATAATAAAGTGATTCCCCGCATTGCCGTTGTTCAACTCTCGCGTCAATTGTAATTTTTGCAAGCTTTACTTATCAGAATTCCAGAAAACACCCCTTATTTTAGTCAGTTCAAAGTATATTTACAATGTAAACATTATGTGTATTTATATTAATTTGTTATTAGCTTGAATTGCAGTGAAAAAGTAATTTTCGAACCTATAAACTATATAGATTCTTGATCAAAATATACAGAAAAGAAATTTTCCGAAATGTCTCTAAATCAATACTCCGCTTGTATGATCTCTTGTGAGCACATCTTTAGGGATGAGATAGAACATAGTCCAATTTAACCAAGTCGGGTGAGTAATTGGAAAGGAATTCTGGCACAAAATAATTGATTTAATTCAAAATGCCAAACACTTTCACCACAAAAAACAGCTGTCAAAATGCAGTTTTAATTGATCTGCTCTGTCTGCCAGAATAAGAATGGACAAAAAGGCAAAATAATTCCTTTTCACATACGATTGCACTATAGGGTCAAGGGATTATCTTTTTTTCCAGCTACTAATATATAAACACAGAAATATTTATACAATTTTAATCTACGGTTTGAATTTGAATTGTTTTCGCGCTCTCCAGTATTTTGGATTTTTTAGGAGTTTCTTGAATGTTTGAGATTTTTCAGGGGTCAGGAGTGTGGCAACACTATTTCGCAGCTTCTTTTTTGTTGAAAGCAATTTAGTCGAAATGTCACTTTCCGCCACTGGGGATTGCCAATTATTGGCGCAAATATATAATGTAAGCCATCAAAATCGACGAAGCGGATGTTGCCTAACCTACTCCCATTCCAGTACAAGGGACACCGCGTCGCCTGCAGCGTCAAAGTGCTGCCGACACCTGTGACCCATTTTGAGCGCGAAGCCACGAATGACTACCACTGGATGACCGCTGCCCGCTGGACCAGGATTGAGGTCGCTTTGTGGCGCATTTTTGAGAATCTAGCCGACTGGGCGGACGCCAAGAAGCTGCGTGGCGAGCTGCTGATCGACCACATAAACGTACGGTTCCAGGCCACCGAGAAACCGCGTTCTGGGACAAGAAGCATTTTGGCCGGGGCCGAACTGGCGCCAGAGGACCTCAGCCTCGACATCCAGCTGCAGTACATGACAGTCGAGGACACCACAATTGTGGGCATGCACACAACTAAGCGCAAAATTGCCACGGAGGCAGAGACCAACGGCACCGTCAAGATCATTAGTCCCAGCAAACCCCCAGGTTCTGGAGCTAAGCCAATAACTGGGTAGGGGAGACGCACTTACAAAAGAACCTACATTATTATTTTAGATTAGTTAGTTAAGGGTAATTCTATGGGCTGCAACACTGCGTAATTCACGATCGTAGCTACAGTAACTATTTTGTCTTTAGTAAACAAGAAAAGCCGTCACACACAAAACCGAAACACATAGATGCCGACGATGAGGAAGATGATGACTCGCCAGCGACCTCACGAAGCCAATCCACCACCAAATTCAAACGTGGACGCCGATCCATTTCCCAGGGTGGCGTCGTGCAAGAAGAAAATTCCCTAAGCAATGGAAAAAGAAGCTCCACGAGCACATCAGAAAGGTATGTACCAATGCAGTTAGATGTTAGTTGGAGGTGTTTTTCTACATTCACAGAAATTCTAGAGCTAGCTCCGTCGAGACCAAGGCCGCTCGTCGCTCCGGTCGATCTCCAATTCGTCCGAGTCGTTTTAACAATTTCGTTTTGAGGTACACTGCAAAAAATAAGCTGTAAAGCAAGTCATTAACTCTGTTTTTCTTTGCAGCGACACACAGCAGAAGAAGAGCAAGTTGGGGAAAACGGGGGGTGTGAAATCAAAGAAGTCTTCTCCAGTCAAGAAACAGAAAGGAAAGCCGACAACTTTATCACCAGCCAAGGCAGCGAAGGAGAAATCTCTGACGCCAACACCAGCCGAGGCACTCAGGGTAGAGCAGATAGATGGGGCTCGCTTAGATGCGCTGCAGCGGCTGGACAGCATGCTGGCCATAACCAAGCCGCCTGAAGTTCCGATTTTGTAAGTGGTTAGTGTATATAAACGGTAATAAAGTCTCACGAAATTGCCTTCAACCGTCTGCGGTCTTTAAATTGTCTCAGGCTCTTGGAAAACATGAGCGAAGCTGATGTCCTGTCGTCTTTCGAGCGCTATAGAAGCGACTTTGATAAGCTGTTTACGGAGCGAAAGAACAAGTCGCACACACATAGTTATATGCAGGTTAGCCACATGGACGTCATGGACATATTAAACGCAGGTATTCGTAATAAGATGATGAAAAAACTGGCGGAAACCTATAGCAACAAAAGCGTAAGTAAAGTGCACGGTAGTGTTCTGCATCGAATTTCTGACTCCTGATCATCATTAGAGCCACACGTCCCTCATCATAAATGGGCTGCTGCCGCTCTGGATAGTACTGATCTTTACAGACACGTACAAGCTATCGCATGAAGATGCCATACGTCAGATAAAGGACCAGTTGAGGTGGAGCTCTTACCTGAAGGCTCTGAACAACGATCCATTGAGCTCTGACCTGGAAATGTGATGTCTTTGGTCGGTATATCAACCAATACTCTCTTTAATTTATGCTAATTGATACAAAAAAAAAACAGACTTGTTATAAATTCATGTTTGTCTTTATTCATTTAATTATTTTGGAATCGATTCTGTATTACGCATTACATCATATAAATACATGCAAGCATTTGCCTTAAAAAACAAAGGAAAGCCGAATGTTCCAAGTGTGTGTTGTTGTCGTGTAATGGAGTGCTCTCTGGACGACTGACGGCGGTTACGACGGTACGGCGAAGGATTACGAAATTGCTTTACTTAGAATCTAGAGAGTAATGAAAATGAAACGGCCGCCAGGTGGTTCAACGTTGAACTCAGTCTAACCTCCACACTCCTATGTACAATCTATGTGGGCTGTTATGAGGTGTGCTGCTGCTTTTGCTTACAGCTCGTCGTGCTGCTCCTCCTCCTCATCGTCGGCGTTGGTGCTCTCCTCGCTCGCGGACTTGTTGTCCTCGGCATCGTCCTCCTCGTCCTCATCGAATTCGACCTGTTCGTTTTGGTCAACACCCAAAGTCTGACGCATCATCTGCTCAATACTGTCGGCGAACTGGGCTGTCTCCTGAAGCATGTATCCAGATCGCAGAGTTGCGGTGCGGAACATCATCACGGCCATGTTCTTGGCGGTGTCGTCAGCCTCATCAGCCTCCACGCGGCGCAGCAGCTCGCGCATCAGAGGATGCCTGGGGTTAATCTCCAAAGTCTTTTTCTGGTTGAGGTAGTAGGTACGCTGAGGATCGTCGGACTTTTGGTGGGCGTTGGACATGGCCAGGCGTTCCATGTTACCGGTCCAGCCGAAAACACCAGCCACCAGAGCACAAGGCGAGTTGCTCAGACGCTCCGAAACCTGGGCCTTGGCGATCTGATCCTTCAGGGCCACATCGTTCAACCACTTGACTAGCGGCTCGAAGCTGCTCTGCAGTGCCTCGAAGTTCTTTTTGCTCTTCTCGGACTCGTTCAGCTTGAATCCTTCCTTGGCCACGTTCTGGAACTTCTTGCCATCGAACTCGGGCAGGGCAGAAATGCAGTACTCATCGACAGCCTCAACCAGATACAGAACCTCGTAGCCCTTGCTCAGCAGACGCTCAACGAACGGCGACTTCTCGACCTCAGCGCGGTTGGAGCCGGCAATGTAGTAGATGTGCTCCTGCTTCGACTTCATGCGCTCCACATATTCAGCCAACGAGGTAACTCCCTTGCCGTTGGAGGTCTGGAAACGAAGAAGCTTGGCCAGACGCGATCGGTTGCTGGGATCTTCCATCACGCCCAGTTTGATGCTGAAATGAGGAAAGGTTTAAGAAATTAAATTAATTAATATCAAAGCGACTACTTAAGCTACTTAAAAGATAGGATGTTATATTTCCTGACAAATTTTAGTCTTATAAATATTTAAAGTTTAAGGATTAAGTTACAGTTTAGTCTAATTTCGTATGGAAAAAATGCAATAAAATAAAAAGAAAAACTATTAGATTCGGTGGAGGGCATACGAAATTAAATTAATTACATTTTCAGAGAACTAAGAACTGATAAACCTAGTTTATTTAGAAATTAGCGTTCTTTCGAAATGTATTCTTATCAGCTCTAAACAAGAAAGATGAATCAGAAGCTCTGGGCTACTGATTAGCATAAGATTCCACCTTCGATTCTTCGTATACCCTATTAATTTTAGTCACCGAAGGAGTCATTTCCGACCCTATAAGTCCATTTTCTTATATTCATATATTCTTGATCAGCATTAACAGGAAAATCGATCTAGCCATGTCCGGATGAAAAACATAATGTTCAAAATTTACCCAAATTTTAAAAATTTGATAAAGGGTTACATTATTCAAATTCTAAAAAAATTTCACTTTTAGAATTGTAAATTATGCAGATTTGTTAGCACTAAAAAAACTAGCATAGGAAAGTTTTCCGAATTGAAATTAAGGCTTCTTTGAATTAATTATGGGATTTTTAACTTTGATTTGTGGACAAAATTAGCATATAAATATATCAATAAATATAGATTTCAAGAAAGATTTTCTAGGGGTTCATAAATTTTGTAGATCACTTAAATTTTAGCTAAAATATGTTCAGATTCAAAAGGTTCTATAAGATGGATATGGGATATTACTCACTTGGTGGAGAACTCCTTCCAGAACTTCTCGTAGGCCTCCTTGTCGATCTTCTTGAGCATGTCGAGCACCTTGCGCACCAGCTTCTTCTTGATCACCTTGATTAGTTTGTGCTGCTGGAGGGTCTCGCGGGAAACGTTCAGGGGCAGATCGTCAGAGTCGACCACGCCGCGAATGAAGCTCAGGTAGTTGGGCATCATGTCATTAAACTCGTCGGTGATGAAGACACGACGCACGTACAGCTTGATGTTGTCAGAGTTGGTTCCATAGCGGTTGAAGGACTCGGAGGGCTGAATCTTGGGCACATAGAGCAAACTCTTGAAGGTAACCTCGCCTTCGGCGATGAAGTGCGTCTGGGTCAGGGGCTCGCTGGAGTCCTTGGTCAGGCTCTTGTAAAAGCTGGTGTACTCGTTCTCAGTCACGTCGGCGGGCTTGCGGGTCCAAATGGGCTTACTGTCGTTGATCAACAGCCAATCCCAGGTGGTCTTCGAAACCTTCTTGGTCTTGGGCTTGTCATCGTCGGCGGCTTCCTCGACCTTGGCATCCTCGTCCTCCACATCGTCCTCGGTCTTCTCCGGCTTGGCCTCCTCCTCCACGGGGACCTCCTCGTCGACGGTTTTGCTGGACCACATTAGGATGGGGAAGTTGATGAACTGCGAGTACTTGCGGATCAGTTCACGGACGGTCTCCTCCTCGAGGAAGTCCTGGGCCTCATCCTTCAGGTAGAGCGAGATCACGGATCCTCGCTTTAGGGTGTCGCCGCGGGGATCCTCTGTGATGCTGAAGCTGTTGGCATCCGACTCCCAGATGTACTGCTTGTCGTCGTTGTGCTTGGTGGTCACCACCACGCGATCAGCCACCAGGAAGGCGGAGTAGAAGCCCACACCGAACTGACCAATCATGTCGTTGAGATCCGTACCCTCTGCCTTGCTGGGATCCTGCATCTTGGCCAGGAAATCGGCGGTGCCCGACTTGGCAATTGTGCCCAGATTGTTGATCAAATCCTGATGGGTCATACCGACGCCCGAGTCCATGATGTGCAGTGCCTTGTTCTCCTTGTCGGCCTTGATGCGAATGTGCAGCTCGGGATTCGTCTCCTGAGCCTTGGGATCGGTAAGAGCCAGCAGACGGATCTTGTCAATGGCATCGGAGGCATTCGAGATTAACTCACGGAGGAAGATCTCCTTGTTGCGGTATAGCGAGTTAATGATCAGCTTCATCATTCGGTTGACCTCCGTCTGGAAGGTGAACTTCTCGGCCTGCAGAAGACAAAGAGGTTCAAAGTCATACGTGTACTTAGGGAACAACCGAGAAGACACCCACCTTTTCGCGCAGTTCCTTCAGTTGCGCCACGTTCAAGCCATCGAGTTGAATAGCCTCCTCCTCACGCTTCAGAGCTTCGGCGTCTGTGGGATTACAATAGATAAGGGGCGTTAATAGCCACTGGGTAGCGCACGCTGACGTGTACCAAAAAATTAGCACAACTCGCCGGGGGCGTTACTTACCTGTGCGAGAGCCCTGCTTAAAGGATCCCAGGTCCAGATCAATGGTCTCCGTGCTGGCCTCATCCTCAGCAGCCGCGATTTGGTTCACACCTGCCGGCACGCAAGAACAAGACATGAATTAATTAGGTTAAAACACCGGCATGGCGGACCGGGGAGGGCGTTCTTTGCGGCGTGGCAAAACGTACCTGCTAAAAGCAATAGCCCCAGCAGCAGATAATACTTCATGATTACGATCCACTCTTTTCGAGGACGAGATACGAGTTACTCCCGGTGAAAGGCCACGTCACGAAAACCCAATGTAATAAATTATTCGCACCGAACGAATTTATATTTTTTATAATGACGCAGACGCAGCTCCGACTGCTTAAATACCAATCAGTGTGACCCAAACGGAGAAGAATACTACCGTAGGGTGGATTTCCGCTTCCACGACAGCCGGGCACACTGCTGCCTTAACTAACAGAACGTCTAGAAAATCATTTTACACCTTTACAGATACATTGGGTTGAATTCTCGTTTTTGGGGTCGAACTCTCATGTTGAATGTAAAATGCTTAACTTATCCGCTCCCTTTTCACTCGATGGGTGTCGGGTTGATGTTGATTAACAGACCTCTCTCGGGTGCTGTCGGGAATACATGAACACAGACCTGCTCTAATTTACAGAATTCTATCTGTTGCCTGCAAATTAACCAAATTGCAGAAAAATAAAGCCGATGGACGGATATCAGCTTTCATCACAGACGGGTAAACACAGAGTGGTGCCAACAGAGCTTTTTTCTGGATGCTATTATTTGAAAATTAGTGTGCTAAACTTCCGTGAAGGCGCCACTGCATGCGTAAAAAGAAGTAAGGTGCTCATGTCGAAAATGTTGTGCTTTTCAATCCATTTACGCATAGTTTTTTAAAATTATAATTAAAAATAAAATTTAAAAAATGGGAAATTTCAGAATTTTTTTTTTCGGTCGGATAAAGCTGAAAAGATTCGCTTCTTGATGCTGATCAAGAATATATATGGTTTATAGGGTCGGAAATGACTCCTTCACTGCGTTTTAATCTTCTGACTGAAGCTGTACTCTGCAAAAAGGTATAAAAACAGACAATTTTCTTAAATAATCTGAGTTTTGCAAACATCACAATTAAGCCAAAATAGCATTAATTTTGATTCGGAAAGCCTTTCTGTGCAAGTTTTTATAGCACTAACAAATCTGCATACTGCGTTTGTTGATGCTGTTATAAGTTTCTGACTAAAATTATAGTAACCAGTATAAAGGTATAAAAACAGACAATTTTTCCCAAAAATCATAGTTTAAAAAAACTCATAACTAAGCTAATAAATCATTAATTTTAATTCGGAAAGCTGTTCTATGCTAGTTCTTAGAAGATTAACAAAGCTGCATACTCAGTTTTTCAATTTGAATAATTCAATTTTTTGTCAAATTTTGGCAATTTTAATGATGTAACCCCTTATAAAATTTTCAATTTTCGGAAAAATGTCAAAAATTTATTTTTTGACCAAACATGGCTAGAACGA